TTGCAAGGCAGAGACCCCTCAGCCGATCGATGCACTCCCCTGCCCGAGGAAGTCCTCGGCTTCCATGAGAGCAAACCAGCATCATCTCCCTGTGGCCCTCTTCCCTACCTGGGGGCTCTTCCACTGGCACCAGACCAGGGTGAAACCCTCAAGGGCTTTTTCTTGCTGGAGAGCCCCAGGTTGCCCACACGGTGCAGTGTTTCCTTCCTGGCACCAGGAAAAGCTGCTCCACTCCTTCAAATATTAAGGCTTTATGTTTGTGGGAGGGTGCAAGGGAAGATGTGGCTTGTGGCAGTGCTGTACCTGCTAGTGATGGGGAGACCAGGAGCACTTTCCCTGTGGGACCCCTGTGTTGGCCAGGGAAAATCCTGCCTCCCCAGAGCACTGGGCAAGGAGATGAAAATCAGCAGGGTTTTTTTAATTTTTCCAGGTTTTCCATGGGCACTGCCATTCTCAGAGCCATCCCCATGGATACAGGTGAATGATTTTGTCCCAGACACTTCTCCTTTCCCCTCTTTTCATCCCAAACTTGCCCAGACTCCTGTGTGGAAGCCCCCTTCCTTTGCGTGACTTGCGCTGTGTCTCCTGGGGAGGATGAATCCTGAGTGATGTGTTTACCCAGCTCAGGGCAAACATCCCAGTTTTTGGCTGAACAGTCAGAAATGTGACATGCGATGTTTTTGCCCATCCTGACTATCTTCAGGTAAGGTAAAGTGTATCCACAGCCCCTAGCAGGGCTTAGGAGCACACAAGTAAAGCTCCACACTGCACATTTGCCATGAAACAAGGAAAGTAACTAAGACAGATGGTGAACAGCTGACAGGTCCTTAACTGGGTACTTCAAAATCACAGCACAGGGTGCAAAACAAATCTCACCTGACTGCTCCAGATGTGACTTTAAGTGGCTCATAAATCAGAAAAGGCAGCCCTGGCTCAGGGCTGGGAAAGCCTGCTCTGGGAATACCAGACAGCCGGAATGCTTCCTGGGTGCCTTGCATTGCACCTCGAGCACTGCTGCTCATGCTGCTGATGGCTGCAAGGGCCCTTTGGCATCGGGGATGTGCAACGCTTGCACACCCCATGAGCTGCACGGATTTCCCCTCCATAGTTTCAGTTGCTGCATCTGGGTCCCCCTGGGCTCTCTCACTGTTTCCCATGGAAGGGGGTACTGAGCCAGCTCCAGGAGAGAAGTTGAAATGGCTTTTGCTACCAGGCTGATGATCTGGAAGTGGGATGGGTTACTACTACCCTGCTGCCTGATTGCAGTCCAAAGCTGGAACCTCCCCACCCTGGGAAACATTATTGCATCTCAGAATGTAACACATGGAGGGGCTGAGCTTTAATGACATTTATCTGTGTTTGGGAAGGAGACAGCATAACTCTCAGCTAACAATATTACTCAATGCTCATTCTGCCTCTCCTCCAGCACAAAGACAGATGCCACCACAGGCTGCCCTGTGTGTCCCCATATGTTTCCTCTCCAGCACGGGCAACCCTGGCCTCGCCAACCAGGTTATTGCTCCTACCTGATCATATGTGATGGAGAAGGATCTTTTTGGGGGAATTTGACCTTCCTTGATCAGCTCCCAGGGGAAAACAACCGTTTGCCCCATAAATGGGTGCACAAGTGTCACTGCAGGCCTCTCCTCCAGCCCACTGGGTTAGGGGCACCTCTGCCATCCTCTGAACATATTAGATTTGAGGGTGTGCAGCTGCACAGAGACCTCCTGTGACACTGATGCACGGGCATGTGCCATCCCTCGGTTGCATGATGGGTGCATCACTTAGATAACAGGGAGAGGTTGGGGCTGCAGGGTAGCCCCTGCTGAGTGTTTCTTGTGCGGTTGGGCTTGTTTTCCAGTGCTTGTGCAGGCAAAAGCGAACCCACCGAGGTGTATAATGACTAATCCACGTCTGTTGGGAATGTGCTGTGGAGGGGAAAGCTGTGCATTAACTCTGCACTCCCCAGGCAGGCTTGGGAGGTTGTGGGACGTGCTGCTAGGGCCACGCTGGGAGGGCAGAATGTGCCCTGAAGTGAGGGTATTGCAGCGTCACATTCAGATGCTGTAACCAGCTCTGTGCCTGCTCCTACACACCCAACCAGAAACACAGGGGTGCTGAAGGCTCTGCTTGACTCCCAGGGCCCTTTCCATGTGCAAATGCCTCCATTTGCAGCCCAGTAGTCCTGCTCTTGGGTGCGCAAGGCAACTAAACAACTTCAAACCTGCGAGGACCAGGCGGGATGCTGGCGGACATGGCAATTTGCATTATCAGGCTTTTTATGATTGATACAGCTGCCCCAGGCTCTGCTAAAAGTGAAAATAAAAGCAAATTCCAGAGTAGAGCAAAATAAATTTCCATGCCAGCGGTGGCAGGTTCAGCTCCTGAGCATCCTCTGGCATCAGCGTTTTGGGCCAGTGAAAGCGCTGGCCTGAACAGGAAGGAGATTATTGATGTGCTCAAGTCCACGGATATAAGATGCAATAACACAAGGGCAGGTGCAAGCACCAGGCTTCAGGCACATGCCGCATCTCTGCAGCGTGGCTGTGCCTGTGTGTGCACACATGTAGAAGTCTTGCAGGGTTTCCATGCGTTGATGTTGCTGAAGAAAGACCTAAACAAGGATTCGCTGCAAGGATTCATCCTAACAAATAAGGAAGTCAAGTATCAGTGTGTGGTAGTGAAGACTGTAGGCTTAGATTTTTTACAAGAGAGGAAAGCCACAAGGGAATAAAAGTGTTTTATGGTATGTTTTAAAACTAGTTGGTAAAATCTTTTTCGGCTCTGGGAAGAAGGAATCTTATAAAGCTTAAACGAGCTTCCCAGGCTGATATGAGTTTAGCCACAATACTTAAAAGCTTTAAAGTCAATTGTACATGTGGGTACTGCAATGTCTGAGGGCTGTGGAGGGTGAGATTCTGGCAGGTTTACTATACCTGTGCTGCCAGGGTGCATGTGCACCCAGGGCCTGAGTAGGCTGAGCTGTGCCGAGTTGCTTGTGGTGTCCCAGAGGTGGCAGGCACTGACATGGCAGCAAGGCAGGGATGCTTTTCAGGTGCTTTGTGTTGCCCTTGTCCCAGAAGAAACTATAGTAAGAACTTAATAGGTATTTTGGATCAAACTGCTGCTCGATTTACCAGTAGTGCTAGCCCCAAGCACTCCAAACGTGCCACCTGGGCTTCCCGAACTATGTGTTTTATTTAAAACCAGACTGACTGAGAAGAACAACTATGGGTTTAATTTTCAACCCCACTGTGGAGCATTTGGCTCTCCCGTTTCTGAGCTTTTCCCAGCCACCACAAAGGCGGGAATCCCACCTTTTGTGTTCTGTTTGGTCAATCCTGTGCTGCTTTAAAAAATAATGAAATTACAATAGGAAACATGGCTTGGGGGAGAAAAATGAGACCAGCAGTGAAATCACGCAAGCTGATAACCCTGCTCGCCAGAGTGATGCTGTTTCATGTTCGCTTTGTCGTGATCTTCTGCAGCGCCCGCCTGCTTTGGGCTGGAGCCACGGGAGTGATGGAGGAGCATGATCTGGATCTGGGCAATCTCAGCCTAGTGTTAGCCAAGTGACACCTTAATCCCAAAGAAACTCTTTTCTGTGTCCATCCATGGAAACAGCAAAACGTCAGTTCCTGAATTAGCCGTAATAATGCTTCCCATGGCCCTGGCAGTGCTTTCCGAGGGGAGAAGTGGCTGTCCCTGCATCCTGGGCTGTCATCACCTCCTTGCATCCTGCCCAGAGCAGCCCAGGAAATTAATTTCTCACTTCTCCTGGCCTCCTATTCCTCTGGATGTCTCTAATTCACATCCCTCCGGCATCTCTGAAGCCCAACTAAGGGAAAAGGCACCTCTACTACCCTCCACAGAAATATTCGGTGTGCTCGCCTTTCTTGTTCAATGCTGCTCTGTATCTACCAGCCCTCTGATGTGCTGGAATCAGTAACGAAGATTTCTTTATCGGCAGGAAAACAGGGAGGCTTCTCCCAGCCCGGCTGTGTGCGGGTGTACGTGTGCACCAGGCAGCCCTGCGCCCGCAGCCGGCAGGCACTTAGATCCTGCGGCACGGAGGGTAAGTGCTGTGTGACAGGATCCACTTATCTCGCCTTTGCATTTCATAATTCATCCTGCCCTTTTGCTAACGGCGCAAAGCCGTTTGCATCCAAACGAGTGTTTATTTCCTCCTGGCTCAGCTCTGCCACTGGATCATAAGGAGAAATCAGCAGGTCGGGCTGCTGGCACTGGCAGCGAGCAGCTGTGAGGGCTGGGCTGGAATAACAGGGAGAGCAATCCATGGACAATGGGATGCCCTGACTGATGGCAAGAGTGACAGAGGAGAAGGTGAGTGTTTTTTTCTCCCCAGCTTTAGAGCTTGCTCTACAGGGAGGAGAATTATTGGTGGTGTCCCTTACTTAGAGAAACTGAGGCACAGGAGGGTTCAACTGACTTGCTGTAGCTGAGCATTAATCCCACCAAGCTGCACTGCCTTGCAGTAGCTCTCATGCCCCATAGAGACCAAAATCAGAGAGAAACAGACGAACACATGTTCTCCTTGCACAGTAACCCTCACACACACAGCGGTCAGCTCAGGTGCAGGGCATGAGATTCGATTATCTTTATTGTAACTTGCAGAGGTGAGTGGCTCTGTTTCCAAATGTGATGCCAGCTGTACCTTCTCCATCTTAAACTCTTGGTTTGGAGCTTTAAAGGTTCCCAGCAGCTGGAAACACTTACTGGGGGCAAAAGCTTTCTGTGTGCATGTGTTCGTGCCTCCCCAGTGCCAGCATGTGCTTGGGGACACGCAGCGATGGGCTGGGCTTCCAGCAGGGCAGGCAATGCCGTAGTGCAGCCAGCCTTACTCTGGGAAGCTGATGTATGTTAAAGGTCAGCTCTGTTTTACAGAGAGTCGTGGGGAAGGGCGTAATCTTGGCATCCTCGCCCCCAGCTCATCCCCCCTCACAACAGTGTGATGGGTTTTTCTCCTGGCTGTTTGCAGTGCCAGGTCCCTGCCTGTGCTGGCAGACAGAAGGGTGTCATTACCTGGGATATAGTGGAATGGATGGAGCAGGAGCTGGAGCCTCCAGACCCCTGGTACGGGGCCGAGTCAGTGGTGACGGTAGCGCCGGGGACACTGACAGGGTTGGGGGTGCTCGGGAGGTTGCAGGACCCGGGTTTAGGGATGCTGCAGATTAGATAGTGCCTCGGGTGCTTCAGGGGTTGGTTTCGGGGGTGCCCTGGGGGTACCCGGGATTCTGGAGGTGCCATGGGGATGCTGCCAGTGTGTGCTCCCCCGAGCAGAGCTGCGACACTGGGATGTAGCCGGGGGGGCCTGAGTGGGTGCACCGCAGTTTTCCCGTCCCTGGGGCAGGCACCGGGCGCTGAGGGGCCGCGGCCCGACGCCCCAGCCTGGCTG